GGGAGCGAGCATCGCGGCAAGTGTCACTATTGCTGCAAACCGGGACACTTTTGGCGTGAGTGTCGAAAGCGGCCGAGCGATTGGACTCCATCGATGGCGCGGGACCAAGAGGGCAACGCGCACACGGCATCCGGCGAGGCCGATGATTCAAAGGAGTCGCTCGTGTTAGTGGCCGGCAACGGGAACAAAACTCCAAGCGACGCGTGGTTCCTCGATACCGGCGCAACGCAACACATGACGCACTCGGCGTCGCTCCTCAACAACATTGGCGCTCCGGGAGACGTCACGAGCATCGTGTTCGGAAACAACGAATCGCTACCGGTGGTCGGAGTTGGGAGTACGCGCCTCATCGTCGATAGCGGTCCGGTGGACGTGACGAACGTGTTTCACGTCCCGGGGGTGAAGGTGAACCTTCTATCCGTCCCGCAACTTGCGAAGAAGGGAGTGATCGCCACGATCGACGGTGCGAAAATGAACCTCTTTTGGAAGGGGGAGCAATTCGCGCAAGGTGTTCTCCACGGAGATATCTACCAATTCAAGACGTACCCGAGAGCGGCTTCATCCAACGTGGCGCAAGGCTCCAAGGCGACTCTCAAGGCGTGGCATAATCGGCTTGCGCACGCCAACTACGACTCGGTCAAGGAGTTCGCCAACAAAGGACTTGCGAAGGGAGTCGACGTGATCGCCGGCGACGACGAGAAGGGCGTGTGCGCGGCGTGTGTCGAAGGAAAAATGGCTCGGAAGCCATTCGGTAGCCGAACGTCACCCCTCGCTAAGGACCCGCTTGCACTTGTTCACATGGACGTGTGTGGACCGATGCGGCATGCATCAAAGGGAGGAGCGCGGTTCCTCTTAGTGATGCTCGACGACGCGACGCGGATGTGTTGGACCCGACTTTTGAAGGCTAAGGGAGTGTTAGAGACTAAGGACGGAGTCTATGAAGATTAGGTGCCTAAATTTCTCAAAATCGTTGGTCCCTATTTCTGGACAGAATAGTTGCGCTCACAAGAAACGCCGTCGACGAAAAGTGCACAGTCAAAACTTCACTAAACTCATATATGTTGTAGCCCTACTCCGTGGCTACAATTCCCAAGTTGAAACGTATCAAGAGGTGAAGTAAATCTCGACTTATCAATTTCGGCGTACAGGGGGGTATGCTGCCATAAGAACTTAACTCAATCACAAAGTTCACACAAGAGAATTGGAGTAGCACTAAACCAGGTGGAAGGGATGAGGAGGACGAGAGGGAAGATCCCAAGAGAGTCCCCAACCAAGGAAACCCCATGCCATACAATTCCCTTCCCCATAGGCAACCCAACTTTGACCTTTGTCACTATCCCAACCTCCACAATCCACCTCAACCCAACTTGGCCACACTTGCCAACCTGGTTTGGTTTCTCCCAACCATTTGGCAGCAACTACAGTAGAAAAGACGAATTTCCCAACCCCCAAAAGTCTGTACCCCATATTGAGTCAACCCCACAACTTCCCATAGTCACCACAACCAAATATCAAAAGCATACGAACTCCAACGTTCGTAACTTTCTTGTTTGTGCTCCGATTGAAGCGATACTTGGTTCCTCGGAAAGCTCTTGAGCAGAGGAGTCACTTCAGATATCTGCTCAAGCCAAATAACATTCACACACACACTCAGAAAAACCAAACCGCACAAAACACAAATTCTTGCACACACTCACAATACGCATGCAACGCATGAACATATGATGGGAGGCAGACAGACGTGAATGCGAATGGTAGCATCACTCAACAGGGAGATGCGGTCAAGGCGATTCAAGAGTGGGCGCTCGAAGTTTGCGACGGTGACAAGAAGCGGATCAAGTGTATTCGCACCGATGGTGGTGGCGAATTCGTGAATGCGGAGCTCGAGAAATGGATGAAGTGCAAGGGCATTAAGCACGACGTCACAACACCCTACACACCCCAACAAAATGGAGCGGCGGAGCGGCTTAATCGCACGTTGGTGGAAGCCGTTCGTTCTCTTCTTCAACACTCCAAGCTTGGGAAAGAGTGGTGGGGCGAGGCGAGTTCGCTAGCGGCGTGGATTCGCAACCGTTTGCCGACGAAGGTGCTCCCGGGAATGACTCCGTTCGAAGCATGGACCGGAACGAAGCCGAACCTATCCCGCCTTCGCACCTTTGGGTGCCTTTGCTACTACCATGTACCGGATCCCCTTCGCCACAAGTTGCAACCAAAGGCTCGTGCGGCGATCTACTTGGGAATTGCGGCGAACGAGCGTGCGTGGCGAGTGTGGGACTTGGGCGACAAGTGCGTCGTCACGTCTCGGGACGTGGTCTTCGATGAAGACAAGTTCACGTCGAAGGAGAAACCCACTCAACAACTCACCTTCATCCTTCCGCCACGAGAGGAGGTTGAAGAGAGTGAGACTCCACCTCAAGTGGAGAAGGAAGCCGATGGAGGGGGAGCGAACAACGAGGAGAGCATTGATGATGTCGTGGAGGTGTCACCAACCGAGGCGGCAACTACCTCCACACCTTCCTCCCTACCATTGGCCTTGACCCGCGAGCGTCGTGAGGTTCGTCCTCCCTCCAAGTACAACGACTACGCTACGGTAGCCGTTGGGGAGACGGATAAGGAGGGCGCGGCATTTTGCTTCGCAACCAAGGGTGATGATGAACACGCGAAATCTCTCATGGAACCACCCCCTAAAGATTCATCCCGTGCATGCTATGAGCATGTTGGTTTGCACACCTAGTGGGTTGGGTGCAAGGGGGAGTGTTGGAGATTACGTGTGTTGGAAGCAAGGTGGTGGTGGGGCGTTTGTATGCCCCCAACCCACCGAATGTGTGACTTGTGCTCACCTTCGAGTGAGTTGCAGGTTTGCGTGGGGTTGAGGATTGACTTCGGAAGACCCATTCGATTCGGTGCCACATGGCAGCACCAGGAACATTCGAGACTTAAGGAGAATTCGGATCGGTGAAATTCGAGAGTCGAATTTCACCCTTTCGATGTTACTCGAACATTCGCGAGTGTAGCGGTTCGAGGTTACTTGTGCGATTCGATCTTGTTTGCATGCTATAAATCTGTTTTCTTTGTATTGCATGCCATCATAGTGAAACTCAGAGTTCTTTGTACAAGGTACATTCGAACACAAATTCCAGAGAGCTTCTTTACTTGCATTCAAGAGCACCACCTAGCACGTGAACGCCTATATCTCGGAGAATACTTAGGCGATCGACGTGTTTGACGGCTCGTTGGAAAGCTAAGACAGAGCTCTATCGTTTAGAACAACTCCCAGTTCCTGCAAAGTAGAGGAGAGTCCTCTACAACAGGAAATTGGTCGCGCCTCGTACCAAAACGCAGTTTTTATTTTCTTTCGGCGGAAACGAACAATTTCTTCTAGCCAGAGGGAACCGTGCTTTTTTTTCAGGCACGTAAATATCAAACGGAATCGTAAGATGCTGTTGCTGCCAACGAGTTCATCGAATGTGTCCTACACGCGGTGCTGTCTTGAGCAGCCGTATCACGGATACGAGCTGGCATGTGGAAAATAAGAGCCTCTCATTCGGGGATAACCACACAGAGAGGAGATTCGATTCCGCGGGTACCGCGATTGGCGACGTTGCTTGCTGCCTACCTTCCTGATGTGGACGGGACAAAAAATTGCATGTCTTCTGAAACCCTGAAATTTGGAACACTGCATTTGGTAGCATCCCCTCGGGTCGCGCATTTTGATAAGGAATCTGGAGAGCGATGTGGAGTGGAGCCGCGTGATGCGAGTGCCAGATTGGCAGCATTTGTTTGTTTGAGATGGAATTTGTCGTCTGGGTTCGCATCACCTTTCGCGAGGATCATGAGCCATACGATGGGACCACGCTCGAGTTCCCCCATTCTCCCTCATTCTTTTCCTCCCATACCTCCCTCCCTCTCGTTGCTCTGCTCGCATATAAATTGAGGTGTTCACTCAGCTATCATTTTGTTTATCCGCACACCACTTCGTATTTCCGTCATTTGCTGCGTGGATTCTAGACTCTCCACTCAATCGGAGTGCTCGATGTAGTGTGTTTTAGTCCTACACATGAGTCGTTCGGTGTTTTGAGTGCTGGCATTCCAGAGTACATCCTAAGTACGGATAATTCTACACGGTAACGGTTTCCTTGATCTCTTCGCAGACGCCTTCTCAGCAAGCTAAACAGGTTCGACATGCCCTCTTCACGAGAACGACACGGTGTTACCACCGTGGAATTTCCATCACCGAAGCTACTTTCGTTCTTTCGCGTACCTACCTCACTGTTCGTCGACTCCAGCATCAAATAAACAAGAAATTATAACCTCGCTAAGGAGTGCTTCGCCTAGTCAGGAGCACGGGAATCTTGTTGTGTTGCGTATTGTCTCCATAAGCTCCATCCAGGTTTTGAGCGCCAAGATCCAATGTGAAGAGTCTCGAGCCGCTGTCGCAGCAGCATTTCTGCTTGACCTACTGTGCTTCAGGGGTGTACTGCCAAACCGATTGCTTCGAAGAACCACTAGGTTTGCCGATCTGGCACGTCTACCATCAGCAAAATCTTCCACACGAGTGAGATACGGTTCACGTCGAATCCACATGGTCCGCGTGGACAAAGTCGGCGGGGCACGAGCGCTCGGCATGTTCACCAAAGACCTGATAACCTGAATTTGGACTCCACAAATGTGCGCCTCGATACGGGCAAGTGAACCCAGCCCACAACCGAGTCGCGAACCATTGAGCGATTCGGTAACGAGAGAAATTCAATGGTCCGAGACATTTTGGGCTCGCTTGGGATTTCTGTATCCTCCCTCTCTGCCTTCTTGATTATGGGGATAAAAGGGGAAACTCCGGCCAGATCAGTCATCCTCGAGTGTTATTCCATCTCAGTTGCTACACTTGGTACTCAGCCTGTGACAGCAGCTCGTCAGCAGAAGCAGCAACCTGTGGACTGGAATTTCCCTAGGCATACTTTTCCTGTCTAATCGCCGTTCTGACTCGATCTGCTGCGGAGAACATGGCTCGCGTCGGGATTTACCACGCTGCATTGGCCTTTCTGGCCGTGTCGGTGCTTCTTCCCTGCTCCACCGCGGCGATTCTCAAGGCGTGGGGCGGCGCGCAGCCTCTGGAACCGGTATGTTCATTTGTTTTATTTCTCCACTCTGAACATTCCGGAACCATCGTCACGCTTAATGAGTAGCCCACTAATCGAACTTCACGATTTTTCACCACGATTCTGCCAGTAACTTTTCCACCGATTCTGGTACTCTTCGTGATTCTACGTGGGCTTGCAATAACATTTTTCTCGCTTGACGTTTATTTTGAACCTTCCACAGATGGCCAACGCGCTGATCGCCGAATGGAACAATAAAGTCAAAGCCGCGCTGAAATTCGGTCCGTACGATCCCTCCAGCTCCAGCAATGGCGTTGCGGGGTTCTACAACGGGACCTACTTAATCGGCGCCTCATCTGAGCCAATCAGCGCCGACAAGGAGATCGCAACGATCCCCAAGATCACCGTCCCTCTCGCCATTGTCACGTACAGCTTCTTCGTGACAAAAGCCGCGGGAGCGAAGCCACTGGTTCTGAACGCTGCGCAATCGTATCAGATCTTCTCTGGAGCGATCACTTCCTGGGGCGATGTTCCCGCCGCGGCGGCCGCGAAGCTCACGGGCACGATCACGCGCGTCGCGCGGAGCACCAAGGTCGCGACGACGGCGATCGTGCAGCAGATGTGGGTGAAAGCCGCCGCGGGTTACCCGGCCAGCAGCGACACTACCGGCAAGCCCTTCACTTATACCGGCCTCGTTTTCGCCGCGACGAGCGGCGAAATGTGCACCAAAATCGCCGGGACGCCCGGCAGCATCGGGTATTCGCACACGGGCGGATGCAAGAACAAGCCTGGCGTGGCGGAAGTGGCTCTTAAGAACAGGAAGAATGCGGCCGTCTTGTCTCTGAACTGGAATCCCATTGTCGCCCTTCCCACCAAGGTTCCTGCTCCGGACAAGTCCTGGGACACCGTCGATCTGATCTGGACTGCGAATGCCAAGGCGCCTCCCATGGTCTCCATGCAATATTCTTTCATTAAGAAGAATCTCAAGACACCCAAGGTCCCTAACGGTGCAGTTGCAAAGGCGTTTCTGCTCTTCATCATTCCCAAGGCGGGCCAGAAAGCATCTACCAGCGGGTTCCTGCCAGTTTCCGGCCAAGTGGTGGGCTCCTTCTTATACGGCCATCAACAACACGGTTGTTGTGTAGTAGGTAGTGTTTTGATATAACTATTTGTGTTATTCTTGGCTCAGAGCGGTTATGGGTGCTGGTATGGTAATTGTCGGGCCTCTATAGGAGGCTGTGAGTTGCCCTGGCTTGTCGAAAATGCATCCATGTGAAGGGTTTTTGGGTTGGCCTTTGTTTGATCGTTTGGGTAATTTCCTGCGAAGCGGTGGTTTCAGTTCAGAATGGGTGCCTCGTTTAGAGCTTATCCAAAGGATGCAACCAGGTGTGTCATGCTTGGTAAGAGAGTAAAAGATTAGCGGAACAAGAAAATTCACCAACACATTCAAGCCCAAAGAAAGGTTGGTACAAGCTGGCGTTTCCCCTCAACATACTTGAATAATAGTGTATCAACAGCCACATGCTAGAAACAGTACTATGTACATTCTGCTGCTGGTTGCAATGCAGGCATAAGTATTAAAACAACACTACAGCACAAGAAAAACCTTGCGTATTGGTTGGATGCATCAAATGCAATAATGGTGTAGGGAGTCATAATAAACGAAGGATGATGATGGAACCAAGCAGGATGAATATAATGTAAGACTGGGTGCAATAGGAACAGAAGAGAAGGACGAGGATAAGGATAGAGAGGTAAGTGCATGAAATCAGATCAGATGCAGCTTCAGATGTTGATATTATAAAAGATGATGAGCATGAGGGGTATAAGCAAGCGCACAGAAGAAGCTATGAGACGCCTCAAGAGCTTCAGTCGTAGAAGATGAGGATGAGGAGGACGTGGAGGAGAAGGCGGTGCGATCACGAATTCACAGGATCAGACAGTGTCAATCGTAGAAGATGAGGATGAGGAGGACGAGGAAGGCGATAACGAGAGCGAGGAGGATGCACAACTGCCCCTTCAGCCCAGCCTTCTTCAGAACCACTGTCATCTTTTTCTGTGGATCGTGAAGCGGGAAAGCAAAACGGAGGGGAAGGGGGGCGATTGGAGGAGAGCGGAAAGAAGCAGGGGGGGGTCGGGGGGAAGGCAGCAAGAAGGGGGCGGGTCAATGTAAGCTGGTCCTTGACCAGTGCCTTTTCCGCATCCTTAAAGTTGAGAATCAAAAGCAGAGCAAGGGGAGAGAGGAAAGGGGAGGGTAAGGAGGATTATGCGAGGGTTGCGATGCATTTCCCTGTGTGTGGAAAAAAACAAAAAAAAAACTGCGGCTGGAACAAATCAGCTCAATAAAGAAACAGCACCTGAACCACACATCAACCAAACCAGGTATCACCCGAACCATATCTCACCTGAACGAGACCTAGCCGCCCCCCAGTCCTCTCCATGCCATCGTCCAACTCTCCTATTAGTGACTCCTGCTTATGGAAGGAGGGGATGGAGGGGAAGGAAGGGAGGGAGGGAGGGAGGGAGGGAGGGAGGGAGGAAGGAAAACCATAATGGGCAGAGTGAGTTGATGCAAGTGGGGGACATGCTTTGCAAAGGAAGGACGGGCAGGGAGCAGCACTTTGAGAGGGAGAGGGGGTAAGGCACACCCTGATCACATCAGTGCTCACCAGGGAATTGGTTTTGAGAGGTAGAGGGGGTAAATCATACCCGAACCAAGCTCCTAGTTAATGAAATTGGTTCTTGAGAAAATTCAAATAAAAGCAGTTGGGTCGACAGAGAAGGGGAAGACCTACCCCAGTCACACGAGATCTCACCTCGGACCCAAGCAGAACTTCTGACATAGTTCCAGTGACACAGCAGCAGCAGCAAACTCCGTGTGTGATGATGAGCCAGTCACACGAGACCTCACCTCGGCTGTCTCGGCCCACGACTTACACACCTGTGTCGGCTCGCCTCGGGCTAGGGGTAGTTTTGAGACGTCTCAAAAGTCGTCTACTTACACGCGGTTTTTACATTGATAGAGTATTTGTTGCTTGGAAAGCTGGGTGTAGCTTGCAAAAGTTACTTGTTCGCGCGAGACTCCCGAAGTTACAGCTGGCGAGAAGTGCAGCTTCAACGACACGCCCCGAGGAATGAAGACTTGGACCACTTGGACTCTCTAGGGGTAGTTTTGAGACGTCTCAAAAGTCGTCTACTTACACGCGGTTTTTACATTGATAGAGTATTTGTTGCTTGGAAAGCTGGGTGTAGCTTGCAAAAGTTACTTGTTCGCGCGAGACTCCCGAAGTTACAGCTGGCGAGAAGTGCAGCTTCAACGACACGCCCCGAGGAATGAAGACTTGGACCACTTGGACTCTCTAGGTGGATCAGGTTTGGCTGACCAGATTTCCAGCCACGGTTGCTCCTGCCTTGATTTTCGTTTTCCGAAATGTAGTGTTTGCCTAAATGCTTCGTTTGCACTCTCTTCTTCATTTCCACTAGCACTGATGAAGGTTTGACTTGAGGCCTGTCCCAGTCAGCCGAAACATGTTTGCGTTTTAATCTCTTTAGTGGATTCGAGAGTTCGGTTTTCTTGATTTTCTTGGCACTTAGCAGGGTACAACATACAGATTAGTACTACTGTCTTTCTTTTGCTAAAAGTGACTTCCCGACTGCAGCTCACCCAGTCCACATGGCTGAGAGCGGGAAGACCTACCCCAGTCACACGAGACCTCACCTCGGCTCGGACCCAAGCATCTCGTGAGTGGCAATGCATACGCTGTGGGCATTTTCGGGAACCCTTGAACACCTGGCGGCTCACCTAACCAACTGACAGCCCACCTGACCACCTGGCAGCCCACATGACAACCTGGCAGCCCACCCGACAACCTGGCAGCCCACCCGACAACCTGGCAGCCCACCCGACAACCTGGTAGCCTACCTGACAACCTGGAAGCCTACCTGACCACCTGGGATCTCACCTGGGAGCCCAGTTCCTCGTGAATGGCAATGCCCATGCCTCCTATCCGCGCCAGGCTCTGACTCATGGCGTCTAGCTGGTCGTCCTGCTCCCTGTACTCGTTACAACGGGATTCAGTATAACAAATTGCACATTGCATGAGAGTGAACATGCCCCCATGCCTCCTATCCGAGCCAGACTCTGACTCATGGCGTCCAACTGGTCATCCTGCTCCCTGTACTCGTAAAAGGGGGATTCAGTGTGTCACATAAAAAACAGCGGGTGAAATGAAGTGAGCCACAGAGACATGAATATCACATAAGTGAATAAAGACAGGCCTGAATGCCACCCCTGCCTGCCTGCCAGACGTTCAATCGGTCCTCCCTGCTCCCTCTCTCTACCTCGTTTTAAGCACTTCATCGTTACTAGCAATTGATCATCATCACCACCCGCTTCATAATCAATGCTTGTCTGTCGTCTTCCGAGGCAGCAAAGCTCTCGTTCTCCCCACCAGCACTGCTCTTAGCAGCAGCCTTGGCAGCCGCGCCAGCCTGCACTCTCAGCAGCTCCCTCCTCTCCGCCTCCTTCTGCCTCCCACACACCTGAATGAACCTTCATAACAACGCCCCTTGTGCTCGCAACGTCCCTTCCGCTAGCAACTTCCCTGCTGCTAACAACATCCCTTCTGCTAACAACGCCCCTTTCTGCTACTAACATACCTCATGATCAGTGCTTGTCTGTCATCCTCCGAGGCAGCAAAGCTCTCGTTCTCCCCGCCAGCGCTGCTCTTAGCAGCAGCCTTGGCAGCAGCGCCTGCCTGCACTCTCAGCAGCTCCCTCCTCTCCGCCTCCTTCTGCATTGCCGCCCGCTCCGATGCCGCTGCCTGGATGGCAGATCGAATCATGGAGATCTGATCCCGCGTGCTGCCTGTCCAGTTGCGTCGGCTCTCCACCTCGCCCTGCTCTATGTTGAACCGCGATGGGTCCCTCTCTGCCACGCCGATTGCTCTGTCCAACTCCTCTAGCTGCAAAATGGCGGTGGGAAATAGGAAAAGCCAGACGGATCGACAGGCACAGCATATGGTAACTGACTTGCGTCGGCTCTCCACCTCGCCCTGCTCTATGTTGAACCGGGATGGGTCTCGCTCTGCCACGCCTATGGCTCTGTCCAGCTCCTCTAACTGCAGTAAGGGTGGGTGGGAATGGGGGGAATTGTGAGTCGAGTCCAAAGGGTCTCGCTCTGCTATGCCTATGGCTCCCTCCAGATCCTCTTAACTGTAGAGAGGGGATGGGAAATGGGAACAGCCAGTGACAGCACATGGTAGGTAGGGTAACATGGTAGGTAGGGTAACATGGTAATAACTTGCGTCGGCTCTCCACTCCACCTATCCCTGCTCTATGTTGAAACGCGACGGGACTCTCTCTGCCACGCCTCGCTCTATCTAACTCCTCTAACTGGACGGAGGGAATGTGAACAGGAAGAGGCAATCAGACAAGCAGACCAATAGGGATGAAAGGGATGGCAAGATGAACCAAGAATGAAGAAGATCAATTTGCTCACCCACCTCCCAGCACCGCCACCCACCTCTCAGCACCGCGACCAACCTCCCAGCACAACCACGCACCTCCGCACCACCACTATCACCCACCTGCGTCTCTGTGTCAGCCAGTATCGGCTTGGAGAGCGCTTCTTTCTCTTTTGGCTGCTCACTTTATTGAAGCGACCCAAAAGAGTCTCAAGACTCGCGCCTCCCAGCACCACCACGGACCCCCCAGCACCACCACGCACCTCCCAGCACCACCACGCACCTCCCATTCGAGAGTCTCTGTGTCGGCTAGTATCGTATTGGAGAGCGTCTCTCTCTCCTGGCTGCTCGCTTTTTGAAGTGCCTAAGAATGGCCTCATGCTCTCATCACACGCACCTCCCATTCGAGTGTCTCTGTGTCGGCTAGTATTGTCTTGGAGAGCGTCTCTCTCTCCTGGCTGCTCGCCCCTAGCCGCTCCCACTTGCTATAGTCATCCTGCACCTTGGACACCTGGGGGAGGGGAGGAGAAGGGGAGATGAGGGGAGAGGGAACAAGGAAAAGGGAAGACACGCACAGCAGCCACTTCTCACTCTTGGCTGCTCACCCCTAACCGCTCCCACTCACTGTAATCATCCTGCACCTTGGACACCTGCGGGATGGGGGAAGGGGGAAGGATGGGGGAAGGCCGGTTGTGAAGGTTGCGGAGGGGGAAGAATGAGGCGGTGTCTCTCCTGGCTGCTCGCCCCTAGCCGCTCCCACTTTGCTATAGTCATCCTGCACCTTGGACACCTGGGGGAGCGGTGGGGGGAATGGGAGGCGGCGAGAGGGGGAAGGGTTAGGCGGGAAGGCGCGGTGATGTTTCTCCTGGCTGCTCGCCCCTAGCCGCTCCCACTTGCTGTAGTCATCCTGTACCTTGGATACAGGGGGGAAAGTGGCAGAGAGGGGTGGTGGGGGGGAGGAAGAGGAAGCACCAGGTGAACGCCAGGTGATGGTAAATGACAAGCTTGGAGTGACACAAGTTTAGGGTTACAGACGCTTAGGGTGACACAAGCTTCGGGCTACACGAACGGAGGGTTACACAAGCTTAGGGCTACACGAACGGAGGGTTACACAAGCTTAGGATGACACACGCTTAGGGTTACACAAGTTAAGAGGTTATACCAGCTTATCGGCTCGCGCGATTGTCATTGCCATTTATGGCATGATAGGTGTCCACCAACCACGTGTAGAAAGTAGATTTTTGAGACGTCTCAAAAATCTACTTTCTACACGTGGCTCCACCAACCATGCAAACTCCAGGACTTCGCATTTCGTTCTGATCCGAACCATCACCGAATATCTAGATGTCATCACATACCAAATCCTGTGTTCCTGAAACTCGCTCTTTTAGTATGGTTACACCTGGATTCCATCGCGTACCGAATTCTGTAACCTAGACTCGATCGCGTACCGAATCCTGTATTTCGTCCCGGACGAGGTAAAACGGGTCTTGCGCTGCCATCACTAGCAAGCCGTCCACGGCCCGCAATACCACCTCCTACCTACCCACTCCACTAAGACTGACGGATTAGAATCCTTCCTGAATAGTACTGACTAATTCCTCCTACTTAGGTCAGACCACCAACTATCTGGTCCTATCAGGCAGGCCAAGATGACCCACTTAGGCTGGCTAGGCTGCCATGGCGGATTCTAGGATGCTAGGCGCGAACGGTAAGGTTATAGCGGTAGACAAATGACGAGAACGGAGATAATGGTATTAGTGGAAATGAAGGAACTTGGTCAGATGTAGTTCACGGTGAACCAGCGATTTAGAACAAAACTTGATAAAATATTAACTGTGATCTCGCCATTCGTGACTCCATGGCCCAATGGATAAGGCGCTGGTCTACGGAACCAGAGATTCTGGGTTCGATCTTCAGTGGAGTCGACGATATATCAATGTTTTAGGCTTTTGCTAACCTTGGTTCCGTAGCTTTTGCTAACCTTGGTACCGTAGCTTTTGCTAACCTTGGTACCGTAGCTTTTGCCAACCTTGGTACCGTAGCTTTTGCCAACCTTGGTACCGTAGCTTTTGCCAACCTTGGTAGCTTTTGCCAACCTTGGGAGCTGTTGCCAACCTTGGGAGCTTCTGCCAACCTTGGGAGCTTCTGCCAACCTTGGGAGCTTCTGCCAACCTTGGTAGCTTTCATGCCAACTTTTGGAACACCCCACCTTGAGGTAACCCTCTGAGGGATATACAGGATACTTCTGAGCATGTGTGTGGTGACTTAGTCGGAATTTTGATGTTCAAAGAAAGCATTGGGCTTTCTCAACCATGATGATCTATCCAGTCCCTTCGTTTACACTTGGAACATCAACTTCCGCCCTGTTCGCAATGGACCTCCTCAACATATATCGGCACTAGACCTTCATTTACATTTGGCACACTTTCTTCCCATTTGCATCATACAACACCCATTTGCATCATGCAATACCCATTTTCATCATACAACACCCATTTGCATCATGCAACATATGCCAGCACCTACAAAACTCTTGACAGGGACTCATTTGGTACCAAATATATTCGAACCCGCTATGGCCATATCCATTGCCGATGTAAGCGAAGGTATGAACGTACTGTAAGGGCATTTCCAAGAGAATCCTGTCTTTCCTGACTCTTGCACCGCCTTCACACATCTCTTCAACTCCTGGTGGCATGGGATAGCCCAGTTGCCTGCAGAGCAGTAACGATAGTGTAGGAGAAGTAAGGATAACGAGTAACCCGGAATATTCAAGAGTGAAATAAGGTACAACAAGGGACAACAAGGGGCAACAGGCGCAAACATGAATTGCTGAACAATGTTTGCAGGACACAGGGCATGTAGTAGGCACACCGCTCATTCAAGAGAATAGGTGCCAGCTCTTTCAGAGAACCACAGTGAAATGAAAAGGTTTAAGGGCACACCATTCGCTTCGACGCAATTGTCATGCCGCATGCAGCAATTGTCCACGTCATCACATGGCGCCTGCCCCGAACAGCCAGTCCACTTCACGCCGCAATACTTCCCATAGCGCATAATCAAGGCTGGTAAGTGGGGAGCGACAAAGCGAGCGGCAGAAATGGGGTATTGCGACAATGTTAGGAATGAGAAGACTAGAGGAGATGGGAGGTAAACGGAGGAGAGAAGGGACAACGAAGGCCAGTGAATGCAAGACGGAGAGAGAGGGAGAGAGACAGAGAGATGTTGTTTTCCTTCAACAATTAGTTCCGAAATATTCTTTCAGTGACGGAGTTTCAAACCCAACGAAACTTTCACCGTCCCAAACTTTGGTCCACGGAAGAGTTTTTTTCATAGTCTGTTTTAAAATTTCTGAAAATTCAGTGTCTCCAGGTTAACTGCGACGCTGAAATTTTCACAATTTCATGCCCGAAAAAGTGTGTCAGTGGACTCAAATTTCGGTCCCATTTCGCGAATTCACGGAGGGAATGAGAGAGAATGTGTGTGGAGGAAGGAGGCGAATGCAGAACATAGAGAAACACTCACTATTGCATTCGAACTCGGCGCAAGTCCGCGAGCAAAAAAGATTCGACAGCTGTTCAAGGGAACGCGAGCACGGACATAGAGAAAAGCGGGATGCGGGGGTTCAGCGGGAGCATCAGACGCAACGTTAACTAGGTAGGAGGAGGAATCTGCTGAATAATGTCGCTACAATGGAACGATGAGAAGGAAGGAGGGATAAAATCGTGAGTGACTCGCTCAGAGCACTTACCCTCAGGCTGGAACCACACGTCATTATAGCGCAGGAGACGGTGAAGGCCATGAGTAAGCGGAATAAATATGAAAATCGAGGAGCCATGCTGGAGTGTCACGCGTGCAGGCAACGGCGGCAGTGGCTCCTCTGGTTGACTGGGTTGCGTTGCGTGATCTACTTACTACTAGTATGAGAAGAGTAATGGGCTGGGCGTCGCATGGAATGATTTCGGTACTTATGGGAAAGCGGGAGGGAGAGAGGAGAGACGATCAGCCAAGGTTTCACTCTCGGTTTGGCTGGGACCAATGATTATTGGCGGACCAAAGTGAGTGGCTGGCATGAGCAGCCAATAAGGACGCGTCACCTGAAGCGGTTCAGCCAAGGCTTGGGACTGGCGCTGGCCTGGAACGCGAACCCATCATCTCCAGAAACGCGTTCTCATCCCCTTCAAAAGCTTCCCGTAATTTCACAGTAAGCGGCCGGTGGGATACATCCTAGCTTCAAATTTCATACCTGTATTTATCACTCAAAGCGCAGATACTAATGTAAACTGAAAGGCACTCTGGTTTAGGAGTGAAAGGCACTGGTCACTTGTGTTTTGAGAGCAAGAAATTCTGTCCTCGCTTGGGGAAGGTGGCAGGTGGAGAACTAGAGGAACGTCAATCACATTCTAAATGCCCAACACCAAACGTCAAATGCAATGCTGCTTGCTACTACCACATTCTTACTACATTCCACTTACTACTTGACTGCCTCATTCACAATTCCCATCGTATTGTGGGTGGAGAACCAGTGGAAGACACATGCTGCAGAGGACGTGCCGAGCTTGAGACATCAAAATTGCAAGTGCCAAAGAGCGCAGTTAAGTTTCAGTACCGGACATCTATAGCATCGTGAATATGTTTTCACTTGAGGAAGGTGGTGGAGAACCAGAGGAAGACGTAGGTGACAAGGGATGTGCCGAGCTCAAGACTCCAGAAGCCGGGGAAAATGCCCTCTGGGATGAACGGCACGAGGAAAGAGCCGGTGATCCAGCCAACCACGAGCGTGGCAAACCTGGGAGGTTGGGTTGGAGGGAATGGTGAAGAAGTAGGACAGATGGATGGAGGGGCGGAAGGAGGACATGGATGACGCGGGAAGGGAAGTGCTCAGCTCAAGACCCCAGAAGCCGGGTAAAATGCCCCTGGGATGAATGGCACGAGTTTTGAGTCGCCTCAAGGAGGATAAAAGGCACCGAGGGAACCAAGCGCATGATCAGCGAGCCTCTGACCTAGCCAGCACGAGCACTCTTTGGCTGGCCATGGATGGCCAACACGAAGACGAGCACAGGCCGCAGGGCACTGGTTAGGAGTGCTTTGCATGTGGAGAGTAGGGGGAAAACCACGTACCCGATAATGAGTGCTCTAGTAATGCTCTTAAGCCGCTCGTTGATAAGGTACACTGAGAGGCCCAAAGCGACCGCAACCTGCAAAGCATAAAGAGACGTGCAGGAAAGGAGAGGGTTAAACACATGAATGAGTGGTACTCGGGGGGGGGGGGGGTAGCCCCCGTTGATGAGGTACACTGAGAGAACCAGGGCCGCTCCGAACTCGCGGGGGAGAGGGGGAGAGGAAAATTTGAGGCGTCTCATAACCGGGATTTGAGAGGGGGGCTTGCATTGAGATAAGGTGGTTATTAAAGATTCATAATCAGTGTAAAGTAACGCCGCCATAAGTCTCACCTTGTTCGCCCTTGAAGGGATTCAACATTGATGAACTGTATGGGTTCTTCTGTTCAGCGAGAGGTCACACTCATGTGAGAGTGAACGGAGGGTTTTCAGTGTCAACTGTGAAATCCAGCCAGTGGGAGAAAGCATGGCTCGCTGGACGGCCATTCCTTTCCCACTCTCATATGAACACTGCTGTCTTGGCCGTCGCACCAGCGAGGACGCAGGGCCAGTCTCAATATAGAAAAAGTTCACAAAATTGTAAGCTCAACCTGCCAGCTCATTTTCGCAATCATTTTCTTTATAAATGAAGGGATGCTCTTCATCATTTCGCACCTGGAACGCAATGAGCGCAAAGAGTACCGCCCACTGCGCCACCATTGCTGGCAGGCTGGCTGCACATTCCTCCCAGCACCACCTTCACCCGGAACTTTGAGACGTCTCAAAATACAACTTTTATCACGTGGCCATTCCTCCCAGCACCACCTTTATCACCTGGAACTTTCTAATTTCTCACCTGGAAAGCCAGCTCGACCGTAATAAAGGGTTCATGATGCTGTAGACGGCGATGAGAGCAAAAGTTCACAGTCCCCACTGCACCACCACTGCCGGCTCGTTTCTCACATGAAGGGATACCATTGTCACAGGAGCCGCACCTGGAATGCCGGCCCGCCCTCAGCGGGGTTCATGATACTCCAGACAGCGATGAGAGCAAAGAGCACACCACCTGCCGTGCAACCACTGCCGGCTCACTTCACACACACAAAATGGTACTCTCTCCCTCTCTCTCGTCACAAAAGCCTCACCTGGAAGGCTGGCCCGCCCTCAGCGGGGTTCATGATACTCCAGACAGCGATGAGAGCGAAAAGCACACCCCGCTGCGCAATCACTGCCGGCTTGGGCACATCCACCATGTCAATGAGCGCCTGGATCCAGGGAGGGGCCTCCGCCACCTTCTTCTTGAGATCCGCCTGGAGGAGGGTAGGAGGTGAGGGCAAGAATGGGGAACACTACACTTCATCACACAGCGTGGCTTGGGCACATCCACCATGTCAATGAGC